AATCAAGAACATAGTAGATATTGAGAGCGGACAACAAGAATATCATCTTGTCTCTCCAACGGGTAAAGTTCGTTCCATCAAAGCGATCAAGTTTGATGAACTCCTTCGGATTCTCAACAACAGACATCAATTTCTCCATAGCAGAATAACTCTTTAAGAATGTTAGAAAAATAATAAACAAAATTGGCTTTGAGGCGTGAAAATCGACTGTCCTTAAAGAGTTATCGTCTGTATACTAATTTAGGGAAAATACAAAACGATTCTCTTCAGGATACAACAAAGCCTGCAATAACACTTGTGATTTTCTACACTCTTTTTGTCACTATTTCGATCTTTGAGTCTCTTCAAAATGGACCTAAAATACCCAAACTTTATTTTCTTGATTTGGGTGTTTGGTTTTGAACTCTGTTGTTTTGGAATCTTTATTGCAGCTTCTAGCAAAGTAGCAGTTCTTCCGTTTTGGGGGCTCTTCGCCGGCGCCGGCGACAGTAAATTGAAAGAGGATTTCTTTACGTCAGGTGAGTCATGAAAGGAGAAAAAGCAATTAGCATGTTTGTCAAATGTACTTTTGGAGATAGAAGTAGAGGTTGAGGTTTGACTTTTGAGTAATAGAGTGTTGTTTCTTGAGTTGTAATGAGGATATAGGAGAAGAAAAATTGAGTCTTTTGAGCTGAAAACGTCTATTAGTAATGTAATGGTTTATCAGAAATGGCTCTTGATCTTCTTTTAAAAGCTCATGCAAGTGCTTCTTTGCCATCTTTCAATACTCTAAACAAAACAACAACAAAGCCCAGTGTAATCTCACAAAGTGGGATTCAGTTAGTTCGGAGAGGATAAAGTGTACGCGGACCTTACACCTAGCTTGCGAAGATAAAAAGGATATTTCCGATAGTAGCCGGCTCAAGGTAATACTCTAAAAAAGTGGAGCTTTTATCAGCGAGGCTGTAAAATGATGAATTAATTAAAATGTTCAAGTTGGATATGAGTTGTGAGTTATTGAATTATATATAGAAAGAAGAGTTTGAAGAGAATTCAGCTTAAAAACAAGGAAATGGGGAGATGTGTTCTTAAAAAAGGGGGAGATATTGAAAAAGGAAACTTGGATTAGATATAGTAAGAGAGTGGAGAAAAGCAAAGAACAGAGAGAGGAGACTTGCTGATTCTAAGCTGGGGTTTACAAGATCGAGGGAAATGGTGGTGATAAACAAATAATGTACCTATTAAAAGACAGGAAAAAGTAGTAGTAGCTCCAGTACTAGATTTTTTCAAATGGCTGCAACTATAGCTTGTGTAAGACTCTGTTTGTAGGAATAGTACCACAACCAGCAGGCAAAGCTAATCTTGTGATAACTTAGCCAAATATCTGTGTACGTGTGTGTGTATTTCTAGGAAGAGGAGGGATAAAGGGGTTGATTAGGAAACACAGGAGAGGTACAGTGAGTAGTCGTGTAGTTTATAAGCTATGAGAAGATTATACGCAATACAAAAATTGTTTATACTAGTATAATACAGTAATAATAAAGCATAAATTGGTAAATTCGTTATGAGGGAAGTAAACTTCAGCAAGAGTGAATTATTGCAGTTATTGTGCAAAAGGAAGACAAAAAGGTGGGCAGGCAGTCACGGAATACTCGAAGAGCGCAGAACTTTTCTGAATCAGTCACACCTTTCATCGTAACTTGCCTGCACCAGCACCCATATGTTGTGCTTCTCGTTGTAAAAAGTAAATTGCTAATGTATGAGAGATAGGAAAAAGAGTTCTTCAATTTGGTGATTGATTTGATTAAAACTTGTTTATATTTTACATAACAAATGAGCCATCATAAAGTTTCGTTCAAAACATTGAGAAACTTTCTTAAGGACCAAAATTTCATCTGTATAAACATATCAAAATTCCTAGAGAATGTGGTTTTTTCTTTGCTAGGCCTGAGCAAACACTGGGATCAGCCAATCAGCACAAACAGTGGCATTTCAACCCTCTTTGCTGGATAATTGCACTATGTATGTATGTATGTATGCATGCATGCATGTGCGTGTGTGTATATATTTATTTATGCATATATATATATATATATATATATATATATAAATTGTTGTATCTCCTAAACACGTGAACAACTCTACTGAACCCCTTGATGAAATTCTTGTTTCTGCCACTGAGCACAAGCCAATCTATACACCAAGTATTCCAACCTTTTTCAATGCATCAGTATCTGGAAAGCCTCATTGAGAGTCTCCACTACATATTCATAACCAAGAGTGTCAGCTCGTGCCTTGAACTCACCGACCTCACCCTGTGGAACTTGGATGCCGACTAACACATTTGCACCAGTTTCTCCCTTTCAGGCAGATAGGAAAAAATAGAAAAAATTACCAATGCGATTAAGTACCATTTACAAAAAGGGAACAATGGAACTAGAAGAATAAGATTCAGGAGAAGTACCTGTGCACGGTAATGGAACAAACTAATATTCCAACGCGGGCTAAAAGCATCTAAAAACTTCATCAAAGCACCAGGCCTCTCGGGAAAAATGAATCGACAGAGAAGCTCATCGTGAACATTTGATCTGCCACCCATCTTCAAAGAATCATAGCAGAGAGAGACAGAGAGAGAGAGAGAGAGAGTCATCAATATCAAATGAACACCAGATAAATAAGCCAAGTAGACTGAAAGGCAATATTTCATTTCTTAAGGAACTTGAAAATTTCTTTCTGCGGAAATGCTCTCTAAGTATTAAGAATTCAAGAGATGAAAAATCACTAATTTAAAGTCAATAAGGATCTTAACATTGTAGTAAAAAATTTCGAACAAACAGGAATAACTAATCACGAGACAAACATACCTATTTACAGTTGTGATCTAAGAATTAGATCTACATGATAAGGAAAGACTTGAAAAATTACCAGATGCCTTAGATGATCTTTGACCAATTCATTATCTGTAAAATTAATGGTATGCAGTTGTGATGATTCCATCCTGTCCACCATTTCTTCAAGTTCTAATTTAGTGTGAAGACCAACTCTGCCATAAATGATGAATAAGACTGGCAACTATAATTATCTACTTATTCATAGATGTCTCTTCACGTATAAAGTAACTCATTGACAAATAATAAAATCAAGGTCAAAATGAGTTAATATTCTCTTTAAAAGATCATGGAGATGTTACCTGTAAAGTACTCTAGCTTTTTCTTTCTCAGAATTATATCTGTACTTCAATTCAGTAAGATTCATCCTTCCCACCTGTAATCAGAAAGTTAATGGTTCGGTCTATTAGACAGAAAAGCACCAGTAATCAAAACTGCATATTAAGTGCTCTAATTGTCCCACCATTTTATAGAACTTTCTGAAGCTCCCTGGCTCTTCGGGCATATAAGTAACGAGAACAGCTTCCCGCTGCCTACCAACATCCGCGAGTTCAGTTACCAATCTAAGTCTGTCAAAATTCATGTTGGCTCCACTAGTTATTGCTACTATGTTTTCACCCTTCAGGCCATAGTACTTACAATACGCTTCTGCTCCAGCAAGAGCAAGTGCACCTGCAGGCTCCAATATGCTTCGTTTCTCTTCAAACATGTCCTATTCAAAACAGCAATGAACTTTCACTGAAAAGATCTGAAACTCACGTAACAAAAAGCCGTCTTGTTGACAATTATTATAGACCTACAACATAAAAGATGTCACAACTAAAGATCGATTTCATGAGGGATAACTTGGCTACAGAAATTCTATGTTGCCTCAAGGGCATTCAACAGACCTGCACCATAAAAGGGTGATCAAATGATATATCTGAACATGTTGTTAATGACTTTGAAGCAGCATCAAAGCTCCACAAAAATGAGACAAAAGCTTGTTGTTTTCAGTGAATCAGGTGCAAAACATACAGGAACTAGAAACAATCATGGGGTTCCCAGTGAGAGAACTTCCTACTAATTATTTGGGATCCAAAGAAGTTTGGCAAGGGGTTATAGAGAGTTTTTAAAAGATGTTGGCAAAAAGGAAGAAACAATAGCTATACTTGGGAAGAAGGTTGACTCTGATAAACAGTATAAACGACAGCATACTAACTTACTTCATGTCCCTATTTTTACTGCCAAAGGAGGACGTTGATGCAGCTGGACAATATTAGGAGAAACTTCCAATTAAAGGAAACAGTGAAGACCATAAGCTTCATCTTTTGAAGTGGGAGGCAATTCTTATGGAGAAGAAGGAGAGAGGCATCGAGGTGAGCACATAACAAAGCCTCCTATGTAAATGTTTAGGTACCACAAGGAAACAAACTATAGAAGGATGTGGTTTTTGCTAAATATGGGGCAAATGACAGGGAGTGTGCCAATGCAGTCACTTCTTCACGTAGAACATGAGTATGGAAAGGAATGAGAAACTCCAGCAAGAACTTGAAGCAATGTAGCAGATTTGAGGTGTTGAACGGACAGAAGTTGTTTTTTAGGGATGACCAATGGATAGGGCATGATCACTGGGGGTCAATTCCCTAATTTTTACAGATTGGCAGCACAACGAAAGATGAATAACACACAATATAGGAACAATAGATACCTGAATTTTAATCCATATCAGTGTTTAACCAAAGACCTACATTTCTAGAATTTTGGGGAATGTTCTGCTAAGTAAGGACATAGAAGGCATCAACTTCACAATTTCCATAATTTCTAAGTATTCTTAATTCCATCAATTTTCATATTTTTACTATTATTATTCTCCATATTTGAACATTTAAAAATAGAAAATTAGCAAGGATTAATTCTGCACCACGATGGCTCGTGCTCTCCTTTGAAACACTGCTCCATTGTTTTATCAGATACCACACACCAGGAAGGAACAAAGGTGAGAGAAGAGTGATATTTTCTAAGGTGCACATAATGAGAGGTAACTGACAAGTTGTGACTATTCCTCTCATATTCTGGAGATTGGGGTCTTTGAGGAGGTAGATACATGCATTGAAACTTGAAAGATTAGGTCCTCAGTATAAGAGGTAAAAATTAGCGGGAAAAGTACTTAACATGCAATACATTAGTGCTGACTTACCTTTATCGATGCACATATAGCATCACGACCAACTAGGACCACCCCATCTAATAATTCCCTGCAGAGACGGAAAGTTTCTTCTCCCATCACTTTAATAGCTACAGCATCTGCAAAACCTCCAACATGTTCCAGCATTATTCTTCGACCATGGTGCAACGACAATGCCATTGCATTTGAATCGAATGGCTCAACACCGATAATCTTTATATCAGGGGAAACTTTTTTCAAATATGCCGCAATTCCAGCTATAAGACCCCCTCCACCAACAGGTACAAATACTGCGTGTATGTCATCCTTGAATTGGCGACTAATCTCCATTCCAACTGTACCTTGTCCTATTATAATATCTGGGTGATCAAAAGGAGGGACGAATGTGCGGCCTTCTGCTTTGGCCTGAGCTTTCGCATATGCTTGAGCTTCATCATATGTGTCCCCCTTGCAAATAACAGTAGCACCCAATCTCTCAACGGATTTCCACTGCTCAGTAGAAAAGAGCACGGAGTTAAAACACTGGATAATCTCCGAATTAAAATAACAGGATGAACTCAAATGGAAGCTATAAAAACCAAGAGAGTCATGCAACAATCCTAACTTTAATTTCTGGTGTAGTAACTGGCATCACAATCACAGCATTGCAACCAAGTCTCTGGGCAGCTAATGCAACACCTTGTGCATGATTTCCAGCTGATGAGCATATAACTCCCTTTTCTAACAGCTCTCTAGGGAGCTTTGCCATCATATGGTAAGATCCTCTGACCTTGAATGAGAAGACCTGTAAATATGAGTGTATGACAGTGTTACTGAGACTACTCTAATGTAAAAGATTTGTATTTCCAATTACAAGAACCTCCTCTGGTTTTTTTTTTGGATGGAAGTATCAACAACATAAGAAATATAGAAGAGGAACAAGCATTAAACTTTCTAAATCAAAAGTTAGAGAGGATTGACAAAATACACAAAATTAGATAAATCCAGAATGCATAGAAACTTATGAACTTGCTCCCTTTGGTGTAGGATACAGAAATGTAAAGATGAGCTGAATAACTAACTCGGCAGGCTCTCGTTAGAAAAATCCATAATGCCATTGTATGTTTTCCTTTTCTCTTTCCTCAGTGATTAATCTTCTCTGACCCCAAATCATCCCAGATTGTAACAAGAGTAGATCAAAGCCAAAAAACTTATAGAGTTAGAGTCATTTTCCTCTTTGAATGAGAATGAGAACTTAGATATTTCATATATCTGAAGCATAATCATAACGGAATGGGACGAACCTCAAATAGCTTAGAATCATTCTATCAAAAGTATAAAATAATAGATCACAAGAAAATGTTTTTGTGACAAATACGCAGGACTCCCTGCGTCCCATTTTATGTGACGGAGTTGGCCACAGAGTTTCAGAAAGAAAGATAGACTTTTACAAAAGAAATCCACACAAAGAAACAGAAAGAGAACTGCAAATTAACATAAAAAATATCAAACTTCAACAAATGAAACAGGAAGAAAACTGCAAATTAACACCATAAATTCAAATTTAACAAATATTTTACAATTCTGCAAAAATAAAAATGAGAAAATCGTAAGCCTACCGGCTGAAGATCCTCTCTTTTGAGCCATAAATTTACCCCTAACCGCTCAGAGAGCTTAGGTGCAAACTGCAGAGGCGTTTCATCGGCTACCTCATACACTTTTGATGTCAATATTTCTTTCATGTACTTGTAGCCGATATTACCACGTGGATAATTCGGTATCAAATACCCTGGCTCGCATTGTAACGAACTCGGGTGTACTACTGGTAGCACTATATCTGAAACAGACGGGGATGCCTGTAACAGTGAAATCTCCAACGGCTTCTCCGCTATAAGTGCCGCCGGCGGTTTGATCCCCGTCCTTTTTGTTTTCCTCGTGGCGGCGGGTTTCATGGCATCGGAAGTAACCGTAATAAAGGCTGTGCCCGACGTGGATTTGGGACCGAAGTGGAAATTGCGTGACTTTAGGGAATTAAAACGGAGAACATCCATTTTGTGTGTAGATTGATGATATGTATCTATAGGATCCGGCGGTCGGAAATGTGGATGTTCGACGGCGGTAAAGGTCGACGGCTACGGGTTGCAGCGGAGAAAAGAGGCGGAGAAAAGAGGCGGAGCAACGGCTACGGTAACAGAATTTTGAAAGCCGCGCCCCAGTAGCCGGACCCCGCGCGATAATCTTAATTTCGATGACATGAAAATAAGAAGTTAAATGGAATGTGATACTCTCACGTGACACTATTTCTTTTTAATTTTATTTAGAAATACATTTTTAAAATTAATTTAATTAAAAATCTCATTTTATTATTAATACTATAATTTTATAGTCATAAAATATTATTTTATTTGTTTAAGACCATAAATTTTAAAAATGTACATTTTTCTTAAATTTGGTACTTGATCTGTCGGAAAAAGTCTTTTTACCTCTACAATGTAAGTATAAGATCTGCATACACACTACTATCCCCAAAACTCATATTGTAGGAATTCACTGGGTTTTTATTATTATTGTATTAAATTTTGTACTTAGTCAAACATATTTATACAAGATGAGACCGAGGGAGTATAGAAAACCAAAAAAATTAATAAAATAATACTCTAAGGGGTGTTTGGTACATGAGATAAGAGTAATAATTCTAGGATAAAGTTTGGGATTAACTTTATCCCATGTTTGGTTTGGGGTATTAGCTAATTTTGAGATAACTTTTATACTAAAACGGTGTGATTAACAATCCCATATATATATATATAGAAGGTGGGATAACTAATCCCATGAGATATTCCATCCATGTGATATTTTGGAATGTCCTACCAATATACCAAACGACCCCTAAGTATTTATTTCAGTCGAAAAATAAAAATTATTGAAGTTCAGTAGAGTTAATTAAAATAAAGCTTTTCAGACGATGTCACTCAACCACAAGTTTGTTCGCATGGTAAATCATTTACAAACAAGTGTACTAATGGAACGAATTTGAAGCTCATCCAAACAAATAAGCAATGTATAACATGCCGAGAAAAAAGAGGAATCAGTCAACAATTATGCATCTACACACGTGCATGCATGCAAATTGCTAGAGTGAACTCAACAAACTGAAAATCTGAACTGACTTTAGTTTGGTGAAATTTCAGGCCATTTACAATTGTTTGAAGGGCCTTATATTATAAAGTATAAACAAAATCAAGATTGCTCTTTCGGAGAAATTAAACAAAAATGGACAGATCGGACTCCACCATTGGTTCCTCATCCGACGAATACCATTCCATTTACCCAGATGAACCGTTGAAGACTGTTCCCTTTGTTCGCATTCTTTGGATTGATAATTCTGGGATACATAGATGTCGTGTAAGCTTTTAATTACCTTGTGCTTTTATGTTAATTACTTCTTTTTCTTTTTAAGATTTCGAATGAATTAATGCTAGAGATTACAATTGTTTAATTTTATGCATTTCAATCAGTGATTCATTTCTTGATTGACATACTAAACTGAGCAGAATCAATCCAAAAATAATTACAGAGTAATTCAGGTTTTTTGTTAAGTCACTGATAGATATCAAATTATATGAAAATTTGGTTACTAAAGTTGAACGAAGAGAAGAGCCCCCACCTATTCCTTTAGCTACTGTTTTCTGTCTTTAGCTAACTTATAGCTTGTTTGGCCAAGCTTCTAAAATTACCTTATTTTGAGAAGGTGCTTTTCTCAAAAGTACTTTTCAAAAAATTATTTTTGGTGAGAACCATGTTTGGGTAACTAATTTGAAAAGTACTTTTAGTAAAAATTGTACGGGCGCCCTATTTGGTCGCCCACATTTAACCTATACCTATTTTTTAAAAAACTTTTAATTTGTACCCACTTTTTAAATAACTTCAGCTCCATTTCTCCTCCTTCTTCCCCTCCTTCGTTTTCTTCTTCTTCTTTCTTCTACTGCTGTTGGTGCTGCTATGAAACTTCAGTTCATGAGATGATTGTCATAAATATGTTTATCAGATTATTTAAAAACAAATTATAAATAATTACAAATGAACTAAATAACTAGCTGTAACTATATTAGATGGGTAGATTCTTGGTGTATATGTTTGTTAGAGATCTTGGTCATCTGTATTTTGACCCTTGTATTATCATTCCCTTTTTTCTTCTTTCAAAGCTATGTAATAGTAAATTTAGACTATGTTACTTGTTGATTAACCAATTAGTTCACAGGCACGTTAGTTTCAGTTGCAAGATTTTTGTTGAAATTGGTGACTTTACTGATCAGTGAATGATGATGAGTTATTGGATTTGTGCATACTCTCCTTTTCTTTTCTTGTTGCATAATTACAAACAAAATACAGATGACCAAGATCCCAAACAAACATAAATAGTGCTGAAGTTTTTACAAATGAACTAAATAACTCAGTTACAAAACAAAAACTTCAGCTCTAGAGCTGAAGTTCGCCAGTTACAAAACAAAAACTCGCCAGTTACAAAAACAAAAACTTCAGCTCTAGAGCTGAAGTTCGCCAGTTACAAAAAGAAAAACTTCGTCAGTTACAAAACAAAAGCTTCAGCTCTGGAGCTGAAATTCGCCAGTTACAAACAAAAACTTCGCCAGTTACTGTTCGCTAGTTACAAAACAAAAACTTCAGCCCTAGAGCTGAAGTTCGTCAGTTACAAAAAGAAAGACTTCGTCAGTTACAAAACAAAAACTTCAGCACATTTGGTTCAACACACTTGCTACTTCGGTCCCATCTACTCTAATGCTGAAGTTTTGCGTGATTGCCTTTGCTACTTCAGCCCCGTATGCTTAAGTTATGAGAAAAAACGGGTACACTTGTAATTTTTTTTGCAAAGCGGACACAAGTTAAAACGTGACACAAAAAGCGGGTATAGATGCAAATGGCCCGTACTTTTGAGCAGTAATTAGTATTTGGCCAAGCTTTTGAAAACTACTTCTAAGTGTATTTTTCTCAAAAGTGCTTATCAGAAAAGTACTTTTGAAAAGAAGCTACTTTTTTCTGTTTCTCAAAAAATGCTTCTGCTTCTCCTTAAAAGTACTTTTTTTGGTTCCAAAAGCTTGGCCAAACACATCAATTTTTGGTCAAAAGTGCTTTTGGTACAAAAAAAAAAAAGGCACTTTTGGCTCAAAAAAAGCTTGCAGGCTATTAACTATGGAATAGTACCTAGACCAAAGGGGAATGTCTAGAGAATTTATTTTGTTACAAGATATCTGATTAGAGACACCAGTTGATTTATATTTTCTAATTTTGCTCCTATTTTAATAAATTTGAAAAAAATTAATGTGGTTAAGAATAAATACTAGTGGCAAATTATGATTAAGAATAAATACAGATAATTCAATTAAATTAGTTTTTTAAGAAATGTGTAAAAGCAAGAGTGACAGACAGGTAAACTAGTAATTACAAGCAGAAAACACGAAATAAAGATTTCTTTCACACAATGAGAGAAAGAAGAGAGGCCTCTGCCAATAGTCATAGGAAGCTCAAAAGTGTCTCCTAGTTTCTGAGATAGAAACTAGAATTCGAGAATGTTCTTTCGAACCGTTGAAGTGAATTCTAGAATGTTAGCCGATGCTGGGATTTTGACGGTGGGCTCGCCGCGGTTACTGGGTAAACGGGTCTAAAATTTTGACGGCGAAGTTTGCTGAAAAGCGAAAACTAATTATTTGGAGAATCAATTTAGTTTTTCAGTAATTGAGAGAAAGAGGCTTCTGACATTTGTTGAATTTTGTGCAGGTAATTCCAAAAGAACGCCTCGGCTTTGTGAAAGAGCACGGTATAGGGTTAAGTCCTGCATGTTTAGCAGCACTGAGTTCAGTATCTAATGCTCCTGCAGAGGATTCTGGTCTCACCTATACTGGCATGATCAGAATTATTCCTGATTTATCTACCAGATGCAGAATCCCTTGGTACTACTTCAAACTTGTTTATAAATACTTGACATGTTCTGCCTTTTTTCTTTGTTCTCCTGACTTTAAGTCTTAATTTTAGCTTATCTATGTGGTATGTTGTCTTTATTGATTTCCTTGATAAATCATAGTATATGATAAGACCTCTTTCGTTTTATTTGAATGGTTAGCTATGGGGATTTTGTCAACTTTTGTCTGTGCTGTCTTCTCAGAAACAATAAAGAACTTTTTTCAAGTTCGTGCATTGTTGTAACTCTGAGATAATCATTTTCAGGATCATTTTCTATGTTTGGTTGAGTATGAAAGTAGGTGACGTACAGCAATTGCACTAGGTGCAGGATGTTTTTTGAGAATATTTTGGATATGTTTGGGTATTAAAGGTTGATAATAATGTCTAAGTATTGGTTAAAGTGAGATTGAATAAGAGTTAACATATGGTATGTGGTCAGTTACACAGTCACTAACAGGAAGTTTAATATAATGGAGTGAAACTAAATAGGATTTGAGATAACATTATGGAGTATATTCTAAAATTATGCGGATAATAAAGGGAAAAAGGAAAAAAAAAAACAATAATCATGAGAAAATCTGGACATATATCATCCCAACAAATCATTTTCCAGCACAGAAGAGTTTCTCCTTTTTCAGCTCTAAAACATCAAATTTTGTTCTTTTTAGAGTAGTATATGTATTCGGTGGTTCATGATTCCATTATCACTTGCTCCAGAGCCTCCATATTATCACCCTTCCAATTTATGTTTGCTAGATGTTACTAAATTCAATTATGCAAGAGCTGTAATTGTAAAGTATGAAAAACTGATGCTTTTTTTTTGTATGATATCATGTGGTATATTTTAAGAATGTGAAGGAAACACAGAGAACACCAATACAGAGTATCTTGTAGTTGAATTGTCTATAATTGTACAGACATTGATGTCCAACTGTTTCGTTGTTTATTATCTGAATGTATAGATCACTGTCTGGCGAAGTTCAAGTGAGATAACAAGTTTAATCCTAACTTGGTCAGATTTTAATTTTTCCTGCCATTATTGTTTCAATGGCAGAAACATAGTAATCATGTTTAGTGTGCATCTTTTGATCCAGGGAAAAGAAGCAGGAAATGTGCTTAGCTGACATGGTAACTAAACCTGGTAAACCATGGGAATATTGTCCAAGAGAAGTGTTTCGGAAAGTCTCTAAAATTTTAAAAGATGAATTTGACTTGGTATGTCTAATATCTTTTGTGCAAGAATTAGAAAGTCTTACTTGGTATGTCTAATATCTTTTCATCTGATGCATATCGACATGTTTCAGGTTGTGAATGCCGGCTTTGAAATTGAATTTTATCTTTTGAAGAGTGTGATGAGGTAGGTATTTTGTTTTAGAGTTTCTCATCTTTAAAATGTTACACTAAATTTGTATAAACAACATTATAAAGGAATGGCAAAGAAGATTGGGTGCCAATTGATAAGACCTCTTACTGTTCTACATCAGCATTTGATGTTGCATCCTCTATATTAGAAGATATCAACATACATCTTCAAACGATGAATATTTCAGTTGAACAGGTAAGTTTTGCATTTCCTTGAATGCTTGCTTGCAAATTGATGTTTCTCATGGTGTCTATGCACGCAGTACTGCATATACTAGGAGCTTTTAGCATGCATTTCTCTATTTATTTTCATGAAAAAGCTTGACTGCTTGTGTAATGTATTAGTACCTTTCTTAATGATAGAACTACATGTACTAATATTTTTATACTGAAACAATACATTCAAAGAGACTAGGGTATGGAAGAATACAGAGCTTTTTATACAACATTAACGATCTCAGTGAGAGAAGAGTTTTTGCTAACAAATTAAAGTTGATTGTTTATAGGAGCATATCGAACTTATAAATCTCCTGAAGTAACTTTTTCAAGACATCTATACTTGGTATGAGCTTGTTGTGCAAGAACATGAGATAGATAAATTATACTAATATTGCCATGGTAATACAACAACAACAACATACCCAGTAAAATCCCACTAGTGGGGTCTGGGGAGAGTAGAGTGTACGCAGACCTTACCCCTAACCCGAAAAGGGTAGAGAGGTTGTTTTCGGGAGACTCTCGGCTCAATCAAGAGAGACAATAATATCAGAAAATAAACAAAAGAAAAGGCATGTAACAACCAAAGATGTCAGAAAGGAAATAACACAACGAATAAGTGAAAGGACAATAACACCAAACTATACAAAACAACAATGTCAACACAACATAGACTGCTAACAAACCTAAACAAAACTCTATCAGACTACCCGATACAAAGAGGGAAGAACTCTTGACTACCCTCTAGCCTACCACCCTAATGCTCGACCTCCACATGTTCCTATCAAGAGCCATGTCCTCGGAAATCTGAAGTCGCGCCATATCCTGCCTGATTACCTCGCCCCAATACTTTTTAGGCCGCCCTCTGCCTCTTCTCATACCTGCCAAAGACAACCGCTCACACCTCCTAACCGGTGCATCTAGGCTTCTCCTCCGCACGTGTCCGAACCATCTAAGTCGCGCTTCCCGCATCTTGTCGTCCACGGGAGCCATGCCCACCCTCTCCCGAATATATATATATATATATATATATATATATATATGAGCACTTTAGAACTGGATCCAAGAGAAAAAGTATGTTGAGGTAGGATATCAATTGAGGGACAAGCTGCCCAATCTGTGTCATTGTAGCATTCTAGATGATCATTAGAAAACCTTCACATCGCCAGCTGTGGTTTTTGAATGAGTTGAAGAAGACTGTAGATTGGAGAATAATGTTTTTGAATCAAGATATGAGCATTCACGAGTAAAGTAGACAATGAAACTAGTTAATTAGAACTCATGCAAAAAGAGAAATGTGATGACCCAAAATGTCATCCCTTGTTTTAAAACGAAACTTCCGTGTTCCGAGGCCTTGAAAACCTCATTTAGAGTCACCTCGATTTGCGTACGCAGTCCGGACGCATAGTCGGAAAGCTTAAATACGATAATCTGTGAAAAATGATAAGTTTTGATTATAAAATGAGCTAATTTGACTTCGGTCAACGTTTTGGGTAAACGGACCCGGACCCGTGATTTGACGGTCCCGGAGGGTCCGTTGGAAAATATGGGACTTGGGCGTATGCCCGGAATCGAATTCTGAGGTCCCGAGCCCGAGAAATGAATTTTCAAAGAAAATTATTTTCTGAAACTGTTTAAAGAAATTT